AGTAGCCAAGTTAGGAAGTAAATCCCAAAGGGATAAACATTTTATAATACCTGTGTCAATGTGCTGGGATAAGGGTTTACAAGATCTCTTTGAGCTAACGATGGCTGCTGGATGCCAGGAACTACTTTGCTCTATTTTCATGCCTCCCATCCATCACACTTCAGCCCCTACAAAGGTTTGCTCTAATAGGGATGGAGAAGAAGGGGAGGTGAGTTTAATACTGAAAGGCAGAGGAGTGATGACAGGCAAGAGAGCAGTATTTCCTAAAATAGAGCTGAAATTCAGTTATCTGCCCATGTTGGGTCATCTTCAGAATGGCAAGATGCATTTTTAGAATGTTTTTCAAAGGTTGCACTGCAATATAAGGTGTGGTTAAACTCTTAGTTAAGTTAAACTGTCTTTTCTAAATGGTCAGACAAAATTAAGGACAAGATAGAAAGGAATGGCAAATGCTGTAATTTTAACATAAATCTTGCTTTCTCACGTTATGTCCCTATTCTGTAGGCTGTGGTGGAAGAAGAATGTATGCCTGTTGACCAATTTGTTGAACACTTACTCCCCAGTCTTTTAAGTCTTGCTTCAGATCCTGTGCCAAACGTAAGGGTTCTGCTCGCCAAGGCTCTAAGGCAGACGTTACTGGAGAAAGGTGTGGTCATTAATTTCCTCTGAAAGAATGAATGTCTTACAAATGCTGTCCTTCATCTGCCAGTGCAATTCTTTATAAATTGGCTCACTTGACTAGTAAAAGCCTGTTTAGTTCTGCTTATACTGAGAACGCAAATGTATGTTGTAATCTGGGATACTGTATTTAAATTCAGATTGAGGGATATAGATTTAGAAATGCATAATACAGTGGCTGTTCAGTCTTAGATTCTAATTGTTCATCATCATCATCCCTGAAGGGCCTGAAACTGACATGGATAATATATCCAATGTAATAATGCTTCATCCACTAGAGGGCAGCTACATACTTGTTTATAACAGGAAGTAATGCAGTTCCTGCATGTTGCTGCCTATGTTTATATTTGGTGTCTGTAGTGCTTGTGGCAAATAGATTTTTATTGGGAAATTTTAAACATCACCTTAGATTGTATTGTTTTGTTTCAAAACTATTTTAATTAAGTCTTCTTTGTGGTCCGTCAAATGAAGTGTCATTCCTCTTTTGTGTGGTGGAATTGTTAGCTAAAGCTAACAATTGTAGTAGGAAATAATATGATTTTGTGCGCTGCTACAATTTCCTGTATTATAATTCCTTAGAAAACAAAACTCTATCATTTCTGAGTTAAAGTATGGAGAGTGTTTTGCGAAACACTGGACAAAGGCAGCTTCCTGAGCTTGCTTTTCCTTGTTGGCACGTTTCCATTTAGGGCTTATCAAAAATAATTTATTTTTATAAATACTTAAGTACCTTATAAGGTGAGTAAAAAGTAGCGTATTTCTTTCTCTGACAGTTTCCTCAGCTTGCTGTAGTTCCTCTAAGAAGTTCATTAATTGGATGAGCTATCCCAGATGTTTTTGGCATCCTCTATATTTAGGCATTGTGCATGCCCTGTAGCTTTAAAAAAAAAAAGTTTAATTTCTTCTTTTGGCTTTGATTAAAATTGTCTTTTTCTCACCTTATTCTAGCTTATTTTAAAAGTGTTGGCAATCCTCATCTAGAAGCTGCAGAGGAGACCATTCTAGCTCTTCAATCTGACAGAGATCAAGATGTGGCCTTCTTTGCTACCATAAAACTAAAACAAAACAACATGGACAATACTCCCATTGAAAAACAAAACTAATGCGTTCTGCAATAGCCCTGGATGCCAAAATGGTTATTTGCACAACATTCATGGTTAGTATGAATAAGGTGAACAAATAAGAAAATTAAGTTTTTGGCACAAAGTGACAAAACAGCTAGAAAGGGCTTTTTGAGAAATACCATACTTCTTATTTCATGACCACCTTTCATCTACAGATGTTTCTATGTTTGTCTGATATGCATGAGCAATTTATTTCTTTTCCTAAATGTGGGTGGTAACTCTGATCTTACCTGCAGTTCAGTATTGTATGTAAATTCTTGCACATACTCGGTGTTTCAGTGTAATTGAAATTTATTTCTTTTTTAACAAAACAGTTCCTGTAGTAGTCCGCTATAAGCTTCTAATGGTTTTTGGATCTTTTTTTGATTATAGCAAACTTACATACAGATATTTTTCTCATTTGTTATTGTAGCTTTTGTATCATTTCAAATATTGTGTTTTATTTTGTCTGAAAGAAGTGTATGTATGTGAATAGCTCTTAAATTTCAACAAAAAAAGGATGAAGAATTTAATTCTGTATCAGTGGGGAAAAAAGTTCAATCATTTCATTTTATAAAGCAGTTAGTCTGCTAGAGCTAAGGCATGATTCATTTTTACTTAATATAATGTGATAATTTTCAAAGCACAGAGTTTGACATTCTTTGTATATCGTGACTTTTCTATTATTTTATTTCTAAACTATACTCCTACAGGTGTTAACGCTGTCTGTTTCTATTACTGCTGGTGCTGGTTAGTTGTAGATAGACCATTAATTTTCCAAACTGAAAATTACTCATTCTGCTCTGGTGAAGTTCCCTCCAACTAAAGGATTCAGTTCCTTCAGCGTGTGCTATTTCTTTAGAAGGGTATTAGAGTTTTACAGACTTAAGCTTTTTTACAGGTCTCTTTCATTCCTACTTCATTTGAAAAGCACCTTTTTAACTGGTCCAACATTCAGATCCCCATCAGCCTGTTAATTTGTTTGTAAGACACGGGATATCTAAATTCTGGAGAAACTTCCAGTAGTAAGTGTTCAGAAGGAAGGTGTTAATGCAGTTTATAACTTCTGTGGATTCTGTGGTCAGGGTTGGGGCAGATGACAAATGGAGGCTATTGAGATCTTTAACCTTACATAGGACATGCTTTCTGTGTATTTAGATGACTGTTTCAGAAGAAGGATGGAGTTAGTATACAGGTAGAGCAAAATTCTGTTAATGAAATCTGAGAGCATCTGACTGGTTTGCAAAATTCCAAAACTAATACGTTTTGGTGGATCCTGTTTTCTGTCATGTCCCAAACCTGTAGTTAGAATGGGGCTTGGAAAAAAAAAAAAAAAGACTTAATCTCTTCAGATTTTGGATTGGTACTTAGTCCTGTTCAAAAACTAATGATTACTAAAGAAATGTCTTCGTGTAACGATAGTTACTTTCTCAGTGAACACAATTTGTCATAAATAGGCCTGTGGAAATATTTCTTTTCCCCTTGTTTCACTGTTATTACTAGTGAGTAGTTCAAGTGGGTGAAGATTTTTGCAGAAATAACTTTTTTCCTTCTTTTGTTTTAAATCTGGCTTGTCTGTGATAGAGCAAGTAGGTTCCTCAGCTGGGCTCTACTTTCTTAGGGTTCAGTTATGCTGAAAAACTGAATGTTTGTCTAACTAGTCTTGTATTATAATGTACAGTATTTGTATTAAATTGTTTCCTTGTGAGCTCACAAAATGCTTTTGGAAGCAAAACGCAGAAATGTACCACTGCTATCACTGCTCTTACAGTAAACAGTATAAACTCTGTAAATTCTGCAACATTCTACATTTAATTTTTTACAATTTTTTATAATTTAAAATGGTTCTTCACTACAGACTTTTTATGATTGCGATTTCTTAACAAAAGACCCCTCAAGTTAATTTTTTCTAGTTCTAATATCTTTTTCTAATGCTGGCATTACACTAGTATTTTCTAACAGTTCCAATTTTCTAAAGCTTTTTTGACAAGGTTTTACTTCTGTTTTTCTATTATCAGTTCATTAAATTTCTCAGCACTGATCAAATTTTTTAAGTGTGTGTGTGTATATGTAAGTATGTTTGAAATGTATATATACTAGATACTTTGAACATTAACCCAACCCAGGTTTCTGTTTGTCAGATAATCTTTTAATAATTACCTTTTCTTGCAATAATCCACTGGAAAACACAAGCTTTTGTATGATTTAGTGTGTTTGGTTAGTGTTCGTTAAGGATTTTTTGATTAGAATATTTGTAAACAATAAGCCACCAGCTATAGAAGTTCACTAAAAGGCTAAACAAAGTTGCTTGTTTTTAACAACATTTGGTACCTCTCTAGCTCCAGAAATCAAAATCATGTCTATTCCAGATGATAAGATTTCAGTAGAGCATTTAAAACCTTTTTCAGCTCTACAGTTGCATGCACTAATGGAGGGCACCATAGTTTCGGGGTATGTCGTTTGTTGTTTTTTTTTTTTTTGTAGGCAATGTGCAGGTCTGTTAAAACAGGTTTACCCTTTACAAGGTTTGCCTTTTTGTTTTAATTTTATACTAGAAGTGGTTTCAGCATGACTAAAGACCGCACTTTACGTCTTGTAATAGACAAACGTATGCAATGATGAGTAAAGCTGTGTGTTAACATACAATTCTCTGGGTTGTTTAAATTATGCAAAAATATGTATTTTAAAAGCCAGATGGAGCAAAGTTAGGTAGCTGATCCACTCTCACAAAAGCAGTAAGAATATCACTTCAAAGCATTTCTAGCTAAGGAACATGAGAATAACGTTAGTGGGTGCAATATTGCTTGAATGCTATAGGGAATTATCAAGCACTTGTAATCCAAAGCATGTTAGTCATGTTACTTAGAACTTGAATTCACTGGTAACTTATGTATGATGTACACTTGGCATCTGTGAGGATGCTGCCCTAGTGGCAGTTGTGACTGTACACAGTGTTGTTTAGAACCCAATTAAATGAGGACACTCTGGAAGTGTCATTCATTTGTCAGAATAGAGAATCTATGTAACTTTGTATTTATCTCAATAAATTCTGTGACTGTTTTATAAATCAATGTGTAGTAACTGGCTTTTGTTACAAGTGGGGTGTGAATGTATTCTTTTGGTTAGTGAAACTTCTCCCTAGCAAAATTAACTGCTTTCCTACACCAGGGTTGAGCGTGGAATTCATCATGCTGATGATGTGAGGGGGAGACTGGATGAGGGAATGAGTAATCAACACCTGGCTGGTTGTTTTTTCCTCTCATATCGGAGTCTTCTGTTTCTTCTGCTGCTGCAGTTGTCCTTTTGTTCCTTTCAGACATTGACTGGCTGCTCCACCCTGTGCTCTACAACTTCTGCCAAGTGCTGCAAAAGAATAATGACCTTCCTTTCTTTTTCTTTGCATGATGCAAAAGTGGGGGGAATAAACAGCCCCTCTCCCCCACCTCCTAGTAAAGCCTACCCACACACTTTGAGGTAGGACACAAGACCCTGGTGAATAAACTGGAAACACAAATGGAACAGCCATGTGCTCTTTTTATGACACATCAAACTAAACACGTTTATCGTGACCTAAACCTGAACAAAGAAAACAGGAACATAAAATATGGACAGCTTGGGTATTTACTGGAGTTACTGTCTTGTTTGTCTACTGCTTTCCTTTCAAGTGCCTGAAAGGGACCTGCAAGGTATGGCTACCTGAAAGGAGGCTGCAGCAAGGTGGGTTTTGGTCTCTTGTCTCATGTGACAAGCGGTAGGATGCAAGGAAACAGCCTCAAGATGCAGCAGGGAAGGTCAAATTAAATGTCAGAAAGAATTTATTCATTGAAAGCGTGGCCAGGTATTGGAATGGGCTGCCCAGGGAGGTGGTGGGGTCACCATTCCTAGAGGTATTTAAGAGATGCATGGATGTGACACCTGGGGACACGGTTTAGTGGTGGACTTGTAGTGGTAGGTGATGGTTGGATTTGATCATCTTGCGGTTCTGTTCTAACCTAAATGATTCTGTGATTCTAAGTAAGCTTGTGTCATCCCAGTGAAAATCAAGAAGTGGTCAAGAACAAAGAAATCCTCTGTAATCATCCTGGTGCGTTACTTTGTCATGTTCCCGGCTGTGTTCATACAGGCTCTTCCATCACACAGGCAGGTTGTTCTTCTGTGATGTCACTTGGTGCTGCTTGGATACTGTACTGTGCTAATGGTGTACAGGGGTCTACCCTCAATGGCATGGAGGGTTCTGATGATAAGGGGAATGTCCAGGGAAGGGAGGGATCACGACTGGATGTAGACTCTGTCCTTGTAACGACAGCAAGCTTTTTGTAAGAGGGAAGTCTTATAAACTTCTAGTCACAAACAACTTGATGACCATGTCTTCCTTGCCTCCAAGGACTTTCGGTGTCCGCCTTTGTCTGGCAGAAACTAATGAAATGTTTTCCCTGCCTCAGTGCCAGAATGACTTGACTCTGAAGAAGCTTAAGTCCCATTTAGAATTACTGACTGGGATCCCCCTTCATTTCCAGCGGCTTCAATACCTGGATGAAAGTGAGAACGCGTAACCTTTGGGGTTTGTGGAGGTTTTTCATTGTGTCTCTACCTGCTAGTTACACCTATGTGTAAGTCCTGGGTGAGGGTCAGAATTTTTTCCTCCTTTTTGCTGTACTGCAGTTGGAATTCAGCTCTTGACTTCACTTTGCTTCCTACTGCTGACGGGTAATAGTCTAATCAACAGGGTCTTCTTAGGTTAGGAATTGCAAAAACTGACCTCTAAATTCCTGCTTAGCCTTGTTGGTAGCCAACGCCAGTACTTGGCTGACTTACCTCAGCCTGGCATAGCTCTAGCAAGGCTCTGGCTAACTTCACAGTTGGAGTTGTGTGGAACAGTGTTTCTGCCCACTGCATCAGAGACTGCATGGTGCTGGAGAACTTGGTTTTGGAGGTTGCAAACGGGGAGGTTGCAAGCAGAAAGCTTATTTTAGAATGAAGACACCCTGTGTGCAGGGATATTTTCTCCTATGGTTTTGGTACTTAACATGTTAACTATAGCTGTCTGTGCGTTACGACCATATTATCCCAACAGCGCTATACTCTAACCTTTTCCAGGCTGGGAGGATGTCTGTTTTCATAGTTCTAGCACAGTGGGACCTAAGGTGTCCTTGATGTGTTATGACAGCAAAATCAGAGAACATGGACATTGTTAAAAAGAATTGTCACTTTTTTTTTTCTTTAAGCTGGTCATCGTCATCTTCTCTGAGGATATGTTGACTGACTTTTATTGTGTTACTCCCTACAGTGGATCTGCTAGATGATTCTACATTTAAGGACAATGATATTATCCGTGGTGGAACAATTACGATGCGCATCTGGAGACAAGATGGCTGGGGGCATCTTGTGGCAGCTGCTGCAAAAGGAGACACTGTGAAGGTTGACTCTGTTACTTTGGTGAACGAGTGGGGTGTGCTGTCTGCAGAAATGCTGAAAGCATGTTGCTGAAGGGCTTACGTGCTTTTATAAAGGAAGAGTTCATAGAGAAAATAGCGGGGAAGTCTTTAACGGAAGAGACAAAAATTAAGTAGGTTACGTGTGCTTCTTGTAGCAGTGAACAGTGAAAATCCAGGATCAGGAGCCATTCTGCATTTCTTGCACTTCACCTGCTGAAAGCTTACAGACCATCTTGATTTTGCAATACTGTCAAGTCTGATTAGTAAGACAGCTTTTTTTTCTGTGTGCGTGGAATGAATCGTTTCTGTGGTGCTTTTATAGAGGGCATGCTGCTTTCTTGATTTAGGACTGAAACATTGTCTCAGCAGAAACACAAGGTACTCTGATTTGTACTGTAAACCTTCAGGCCCGAACAGATGTGATCGTGAAATATCCTTTGGTGCCTTTCATAAAGAACCATTATCTCTGTTGCCCTGGCCAAATTCCAGCTTGGCTAATTACATTCTGTTCCTCTGCATTCCCCCAACCATTGCAAATGGATACCACAGGATTCTTCACTTCCTATCATTAACTGTTGTGTAGTGTTGCGGTTCGTTGGTAAGCAGCTGTTCTGCCTCGTGCCACAAATGGTTTGCATTTTGCTATTGGATGAAGTTTTGCTTTTTTTTCCCATGTTTTGAGTTCCCTGTGTATTAGAGAATCTTCCTACTCAGTGTAGAGCAGGAAGCAGAAAGGTGTGCCACAAAGACAAAAAGACAATAGTCTCCTTTGAAATGAAAGAGGTATTGGAGACAAAAAAAAAAAAAAAAAAAAAAAAAAGTTTGACACTGTTGACTTTCAACTGGAATAAAAAAAAGAAAACTGTACAGCTGCTCTACCAATGTGCTTCCACTTACTAGATGAGGAAACCATGGTGCACTGTGGAAGATGTAGTCCAATGTGGAAATGACTTCTCAAGAAGAACAGCAGTGTAGCAGCATGAGGCAACTGAAAATTGTTCTGAAGAGGCCTCTCAGCATCCCTTAAAGCCAAACACATCAGTTCTAAACAAAACAAAAAAATCACAAAACTCTTCCTGGGAAAGAATACGATACAGGGCCGAGTCTTGAAGTAGTCTGAGCTGTCTGCTGGAATTAAGGCCTGAAGTCTTGCTTAGATCCTAAGGACCTTGTGCTTACATGGCCAATACTGTCTGTATTCTTCCCCCAAAAGCTTGGAACCTGGCCAGTCTCCAATAAATTTAAGAGAGGGACAGGGACTGTGAAGACATGGTTTTGATAAGATTTTGTAGAGCTCAGTAACTATATAAAAAAGGAAAACCCAAATTAATGTTCCAAGGGATGGCTGTGAATAAATGTCATTGTATGTTATTCTGCCTTATCTTGATTCTCTAATATAAAACAAGCAGGTATTATTTAGGTGATCATAGAATGATTTATGCCATGTGCTAGCATACCTGATGTGCAGATACAAGACTTCATAAAGAATCAGGTTACACTTCTGAAAGAGGCTAAAAGGTTTCTGTTTGTTCTGCAGCTGGCCCATCTGGGAGTTACAGAGGATTTTGCTGGCACCACACCGTATGCAGAGATACTGGGACCAGAACAGAAAAAGGAATGGGTGGCGCACCGAGCTTTTGTGGCACTGTTTGTTGCCAGCCACAGAGGTCATGTTAGAACTGCCACGTTTCTCCTGAGACATGGTAATGTTGTTAGATAGAATGCTTCTTCTCTGGCTGTACCTGCATAGCATACCATGCCTTTCTGCTCATCAAGATCATAAAATAGGGATTAATTGGGTAAAATTCTGTATTTGACATAGGGAATGTATTAAGCCCATCAATCCTAATGTAAACATTAAAACAATGAAAACTGTTCTTGCTAGATGTGATGAGTTTGCTCTTAAAGTAGGTAAATTCATAATGCAAAACAGGAGTTACGTTTTCTTACTTCCCTCCTTGAGTATCATTTATTGGCATGCTTGTTTTTTATCACTCCCATGCAATGTTTTATCAGCTTTTTAAGAAATAATAGAAGTGCTCAGAAATACAAGAGTTGCAAGCTCTAGTTCTATAGCTCTGACACTTGAGTTTTTTGATGCTTTGCAATTTGCCTTTCCCCCAAATCTGCGTTTGCACGACGGGCAGTCCTTTCCATTAGTTACCTCCTTTTTGTGAGCCTTGTCACACTCGGACTATGTGTGTCTCTTTGCAGGTGCGGATGTGCATTACAAAACCCCGCTAGGAAGGACTGCCCTTCATGTAGCTGCTGTCATGGGCCGCTGTGACTGCATTGAGCTGCTCCTTAGCTGTGGAGCACGAGCCCTCGACCCAGATAGTGAGGGACAAACTGCAGTGAGCCTCGCCCGCCTGTGGGGCCAGCAGCAGAGCGAGCGCACAATGATTCGCTTCAAGTGGCAGAAGAAGTCGGCTGCTGCTGTGCTGCCCTCCAGTTCTGAGAGTCTGGACATGCAGGAGATGTCTGGCCACGCGTCCTAAAATACGTATGGCATAACTTGGTTCTGGCAGGCTTCAAGGGACAGTGACTTTCCCAAAGACACACACTTCAAAGATAGGTCACTAGGTGGGGTTTGTAGGGTTTAGTTATGAAATAGGGTCATGTACTGGTGATGCTGCAGTGAAGATGACAGCTAGCTTGACAGCAACACTCGCAAACACGCTCCTAATTTATAGCTTAACTTTTTATAAAATTGTTCCATGGCCAAACTGGTCATTTGGTTAATAACAGCTTGTAGGAGAGCTCGAGGCTGTCTACAAGTTCTTTGGAGTGCTTCTTGCTAGGGTAATTTCCTAATAGTTGGCAACAGACCAGAGTGATGTAGTGTAATGGGTATTTCAGGGGACTGGAAATCCCTAGATCTTTAATTCACTTCTGGCCCTGACTGGCTTTATTGCCTCTAGTAGATCAGTTAAGGGTTTTGTAAATAGGGCAGTTGGTCTACCGAGGGAGGGTGCAGGCAAAGTTAATGTGCATGGAAGTGGCTAATTATGATTGCTCAGAGTCAAAATTGGTGCTTTCTTAGAACCTCCAAAATATTAAGCCTCAGGAACTTGAAGACCAGGATTTCTTCAAGTCAGTGACTTGCTGTCCATCTGCTTTCAAGTATCCCATGTTTCTGAAATGCTTAAGCAAAAATAGACCTCATGGTCTTGTTACATCTCTGTGATGAGTAGAAGGAAGATTAGCTTCTGGTCTGTTTCTTGAGGGCTTATTAGTGTCTCAGTGCTCCATCTTAAGCAGTTTCCATTGTTTTGCTTAGAGAGACTTGGGTGGATTTATTTTATTTTATTTTTTTTTTCCTGAAGAGCTCAGCACTTGACTTTCACTTAACCGTAGAAGAGGCAGTTCTCAGTGGGACGAGTACTTATGAGAACTTGGCCCACTCAGTTTTTTGCTTGCAAAGCCCAGTGCACAGCCCGGAGACTCTACAAATAACTAACGTAAGGTTTTTTTTTGGTTCCTTGTGTCAGAGGTGGTTTTTTGTTGTTGTTTTTGTTTTTCTACTTCAGTGCCCGGCCACAGGACTACACTCTGAACCAGGAACGGAGACAGAGCAATGAAAACCATGGATTCACCTTCTAGAGCAATCTAGGAAAAAAAAAATACACGTTTACTGCAGCTTTCTTTTGTAAACTAAAAGGGGTGGTGGCTGTGCTTATTCGTTGGTATTGTTTTCCTTGAGTTTAAAAGGCTGCAGCCGCGAGGGAAAGCAAACCCCTGGCTGCTTCTTACCGTGCCTGGAGTCGCGCAGCGCCTGCAGAGCCAAAGCGCGGCGGCGGCCGGCAGAGGGCGCCCGGGCACCGGGCACCTGGGGCTGCGCCTCCCGCTGCTGCTCCCCTGCTCCTGCAGCTCGGCGTCCGTTCGCAGTCCAGCTCTCGAGTTTAAGATGACAAACAGCACCGAATATCCCAGTTGGGAGGGAACCACAAGGATCATCGAGTTCAGCTCCAGGGTCACCAAAGGACCACCCAAAAATCAGACCGCATGTCTGAGAGCGCTGTCCACGTGTTGCTTGAACTCCAGCAGGCTTGGTCCCGTGACGACTTCCTTTAATTCCTTCTTTTAATAAAGTCCTAAAGCAAGGTTCGGAGCTTCAGGCTGTGCCAAGTGCTGCTTTGGGAGGCAGTTCCTGTGGGAGGCCGTGCGGCGATGCTTATACGTGCTGACATCAATCGCAGCAAACGAACGCAGGTTTCCTGCTGTGTGAGGGGAGATTTGCAGGGGATCATCCAAAGGAAGTTCACTTAAACAGGCCTTATGTTGATTAGTAATTCTATGTGATTCAAATAGATGGTTGATATATAACTGCCTAGAGAATGACAAGATCACAATTTCTATCAGGGTAACCAGCAGACAAGATATAAACGATGCTGTTTCTGGTGTTGCGCTGAGCCTTTGAATATTGCAAGCAGGATTATAGAGAAAAGTCTACAGAAATCCCTTATTCTTTTTTTCTGTTGTCTGTCTAGACTGTGTAATCCATACCCAAGCTTCTAGAAATGGGGAGAGGTTTTGTAGTTGCTTTTAGACATAATGCAGCATGCCGTATAATTCTAGGAAAAAACAGACAGTGTCAGACAGAGAGAACTGGGTGACCTCAGGAGAAGGATGCCAGAAATGATAGAAAATTATGTAGTAGATGAGCACGTAGTGAGAGACAAATAGCAAGTATTTTTTACTGGTAGCTGGAGACTCGCCCTTTGGAAAGAACAGAACAGAAGTCACCAGTGCATTGTGTCTGGGAAATGGGAATGCACCAGTCCAAAACTGTACTGGGGCAAGTTAGAAGAGAGTGAATGGCAGGGCGAGTCCAGCACTGGAGCAGTGCATGCAGTTCTTATTCAAGAGAGGTGAATTCAAGCTATGTGAGACCCCTGAATTAGCCAGGGGAAATGAGAGTTCCTCCTCTTGAGAGGGCTGGCAGTGTAGGGCAGAGCCAACAACAAAAAAGCATGCAAGAGATAATATTACTCATTATCTAAGATGGCATGCTTGGGAGATTTAAAATAATAAAAATAAAAGGTATTTATACTGAAGGGAACTGCTGGGATAGTGAAACCAGAAATCAGAATGCATTGTGTAGCTCTTGGTCCGGAGGAGGAGCAAGGCAGAGAGACCTAACTAAATGTGTGTCCCTTAGGAACGCTGTTGTGTGTTCGAGTGCTGTGCCACGCTGTTTGGACTGGGTGGCTGCATTGTTAGATGCTGATTTTATTTGCTGCAGCACTGTGTTTGCTTAAAGCTTCTATTCCAAAGATATAGATGAAGCAAATAATATTGTCTTAGAGTAACCAGCTACACTGTAGTGTGCAGCAGAATCAGGGAGACAGCACACTGCGAGACAGACCTCACTCAGACTGAAGTGGGGCTGTTGAAGAAAATGAGGCTCTGAATCCTGAAGTGCATACTCAGTTCTGGAAGTACTTCATAGATGAGCTTGAGAATTTGAGTTCTGATTTATATAGTATCAGGAATCCTTGTTAATGTTAAGTTTCTGTATTGTACTGGTGTGCGAAAGCCTGCTTCTAGAAGAGAAGCTGTAATAACCTGTTCAAAGAAAGGAAACAGACAAGAAACAAAAGGGTTGTGCATTTAGTGTGGCAGTCATTGCTTTCTCTTCTCCATGCTACAGCAGAGGGAAAGGATCAGTCTCCAGAAGACTTGAGTGAGGATTCGTTAATGAGCTTTGGGATCCTCACATGAAGGAACAGGGAGGTCATTATGAAGAAGAAAAGGCATCAAAAATGCCTTGAGTCTAATTAGGCCCAGAGCAGGACAAATGTCACAACTGTCTCCTAATATTAAGAAATCCAAAGCAACTCTTTTGGAAGGACTGTGATTCCCCTGGATGCAAAAGGCGGTAAGTTAAATAAAGATGACAAGCGCAGCAATAATTCATCACACTTTCTTACTGTTATCAGCTTACCCCCTTTCCTTGCCTGGGCAGACCCCCAATGTTGCTCACAGCCATCGTGATGGCTGCTGTTCCCCCGGAGCCCTGAGCAAGCTAATGCTCAACAAGCCTGAAACAGTGACTGCTGCTACTTAGAAACAGGCACCATAGCCAGGGACAGCCTTGGATGTCTGTAATTTCAAATATCATTGAAATGTTCCCTAAATGCTTCCCCTTTCTCCAGAAATGTTTCCAACTTTACCTGATTTACCTGAGTTACATCCCAATTTGCTTTCCTTATGTTTATTTTATTCCTCTGAGCTCCTGGTAGATGGCTGCTGCAGAAGAGAAAGGCTTGTGCTGTTGCCCCAAGTGATGCCATGAGGATGTGCCTACTGGTGAATGGATGCACCTATGGAGGAGCAGTACTGCAGTGCCTGTGTTGCTGCTTTGTATCCTGAGGCTGCCAGGTGAATGTCGTCTCCCTGTGTAATGGGGAGGATCCCACTCATTTGGTCAAGAGCTGTGCTTTGCTTTAGGCAGCAGGCAATCATCTCCCTCTGCTCCCAGTTCATAGCCCTGAAACCTCCTTGGTGTTAAAGTTCCTTTCAAGGAGGACAGAAGCCACTCCTTTTAAAATCTGTCCTTTAGTGATGGAACTTCCATACTTGTATTGGTGTGGGTCCTTCTAGACTCAAACATACCTGGGTAGGCTTTGTGTGCTCATGTGTGGTATCAACACTCCTGGAAGCCTAATGCCACTGTTGATCTAGTCTTACTTCCAAAATATCACCTACAGTGGACCTCCCTGTGGAGGCTGGATACTGAATCCTGAGAGTAAAAACCCGTGATTACTTTGGCATTGCACAAAGAATTTGTTAGCTCAGTGAATTTTTAAATAGAAAAAAGAGCGAACTTGTTGTTATACCTGTTCCAAATTTATCTATAGACAACAGTAACGCAGAATGCTGTGGCAATCACGACATTCATTTCTCAAAGTGAATCAAATGAATAGAAACTGTTAAAAGCTAGAGTACAATATAATGCATAAAACCCAACAGACATCAGGAAACTTGTACTGATTGGTCTCTTAGATGTTGTTTTCCTCTTGCTTGGGAAAGAGAATTGTAGTCAGCTTGCAATCTCCCTGACATTGTTCATGGAGGAAGCAGACAAAAAGTACCAATGAAATAGAAGGCCTGCAATTTAGTTAATTTTATGCAAAACACAATCAGCATTCAGACTGGGAATTACCAAGCAGAAATGTATTGATAGAGAAACCAAAATATTCTCTGTGCCTAAATGGTGAGATATTAAAATAAAATCTCAAGGAGACTCCTGGAGCTCATGTAGCTGTAGGCCAGAGACGATGCAAAGGTGAAGTCTGACACTGCCAAAGTCATCAGGAGTTCAGTGAGACCATGATTTAATCCCTGACACCTTAGGCCACGCATCTACATGGTATGAATCAGGGCAGTACTGGTGTGACAGAACCTTGTTATCAGTAAGAACAAAGAGAAGAAAACTTTTTAGAAATGTGATTAGAGGATTTAGAAGTTATTGCTTATGAAAATGGTTGTAAAGAGTCTAGCATAAGGAGGTAGCAGAGGGGGAAAGAGCAGTAAGGAAGGTGGTAAAGGACAGAGAAATGGAAAGAACTGCAGGTCGGCTGGGGAATGTGATTATGAAGGGGACAGTTTTTCAAGGATTTGTTTCTAATCTTGGAGACCTGAATTGCCGATGGTGGACACTGATGTTTCATCTTCCATTTTACTTAGTTAACTGTAATGCTAAAATGCTAAGTGGACACCAAATGTTTGTACAGAACAATGTACGCTTCTCTTTCCCAAACTTCATGCATTTCACGGTAATTTTTTAATTAATCAGTCTTTGTACCTCTAACGCCTTAAAGTCCAGTGTGCATAGTCCCTCTCTGTAGCACCTCTGCCTGTAGCAGAACCTATGTATGAATGCTTTCTCTGCCTTCAGTTTTTCAGTTTGCAGTGTTCCTGGCATTTTAACCACCAACTGCGTTCAAAGACGACCAGAAGTTCGTTGTGAACTCTGCCTGAGGATCATGTTGACCATTAATATTTAGAAAGGATAGTGGTTTACACAGGGGAGCCAAAAGCTATAAGCTTTCTAGTACGCTTTCAACATCTAGAATGCTTCCAATACCGTTTAGGTTGGTTTGGTGCCTAACCTACGCTGCAATTGAGGTTAGTGCTTTGGTTTTCTTTCAAGTTCCAGTTCCCCATATGCTGTTCTGTTTGCAAGATTTTCTTGACATAACTGTCTGGAATGGTTTGCTGGTGTTTTGCTAGGATTCCTGTGTGTTCAGAAGCTAATAGAGGAACTGTCAACTTGAAGGCCCATCTTAAAATATGGCCCTACTGGCTTGGGATAAGAAACACAGAGATTGCTTGTCCAAGCCTCTTCCGTGGAATTCGTGACGCTATTTCAATTCCTTTGGTTTCCAGTAACCAAACAATTATTGGGGTCAAGCAGAAGTCAAGGTATAAAGATTCATCACTATGAGCTTCCTTACTTGTAAGCTGGGCCATATGTTATAGGAATGATCTGGACTTTAACAGTGGTCTTCTATCTCTTGATGAGTGTTAGTATGCATAATTCAAATGTACATGTGTTTGAATTCCAGCTTATATTGATTGAATTGCTCTATGATAATAAACAGGATAAATAAATCAGATGGAAGTAAAAGCATTGATGTGCTCTGTGGTGATGGGGGGATTAAATTCAGTGCTGTGCCCTTGAGCAGCATGTAATTTCAAAAGTGCCTCAAATATGATGATGACATAAAATAAGGCTAAGGAAGCTGGAGAGGCAGAAGGACGGGACAGAGGAACAAAACAAACTCGTTCAAAATGATTTGGATTTATTAGGATTACAGGCTGATAAGTGGCTTATGCAGTTTATTGTTGGGAAGTGTAAGGTAATGAGGCCAGGGGACTGCAGGTAATCAGACTCCAGTCAGAGTGAGAGCAATGTGGAATACAGATTAGAGCATGGCAAAAAGGGCACGTGGCACTGAGGGAAGTCGTTTCTAAGGTGAATAGCTGTCTTGATGCCTCTTTTCTTCCAAAGCTCAGCTCTACAGCTGTGCTTGCTGCATGACTGAGAAACTGCTGGCCCTGCTAAAGAAGCTTCTGTTCAGCCTTGTCAACACATGAGCTCGCTTGTAAATGAGAGATGGGTTTGAAATGCTTTTTGCTCTTTGAGGATCTCCAAATACAGTTATACCTTGTTCTGGGAGCCAAGTAAGTAAAGCAAAGAGGAAGATGGAGGGAATATAGCCATGTCAGCATGAATCAGAATGACAGTCAGGCCTTGTCTAGTAGTGTAGAAGCAGCCAGTAATCCTTTCATGCTGGTTTGGCCAGGAAAATTTTCTCCAAGGGCTATGAGATGGGTGCTTGCTAATTGCAGGTGAATAGAGGAGAATCTAGCTTTTGATGTTACAGGAAAAGTGAACTGCGACTGAGCTGCTTAATATTAAGTTGATCACACTGACTTTAGAAAAACAGAAAAAATGTAGTTTCAGACTAATGAGCACCTTGCTGGGCAATAGTAAAGCAAAGAGAAATTGGTGAATCTTTCAAGTGGCTGCTAATCTGGAGGTAGATTCCATGGTTTTGAAAGTACTTGTGCTATTCTGGTTTCCATTCCTTATCTTTAGTTCTAACATCTGTCTTCATCTTAAAATGTTTCTTTTGTCTCCTAAATTGCAAACTTTGGATTTTTCTCACTTGGGGCCAAATAGCTTTTGAAACCCAAATAAAGGCAGAAAAAATAAATGTCTTAATTCTGTTAGGTAACACATTAGCCACTCCTGCGTAAAAGTGCTTTCTCAGATTTGACCCATATCTCTAACCATCAATGTTACACTTAATACCTAGAGCACACCAGTAGCACATAGAACTCTCTAAGCCCTCCTTACTTGATGCTCTATCAGGTGGAAATCCATTTTTGTCTAGAAGGGTTATGTTTGCAGTAGTTGACTAAGGCAGTGAGGAGCTACAGGGAAAACTGAACTGGGAGGAACAGAAGCTAAGGTAAGTCATGAACGAGAACTTAATCACAAATCCCAATGCTTATATCATATCAGAATTGAGCCATGAATGTAGAATGGTGAAAGATTACTTGGGGAGTAAAGAGATGCACTTGGAATTTTTCCTTTTCTGAGTCTCTTCAGACTTTGGTGGCCTCTAATTAACATGCTGTCCCATTCCGCGTCCCTGTCTGGGATATCAGAAGCATACTGGATGAGCTCTAACGTGCACTCTGCACCCATCCGGAGACGTACATCTTGCTGTGACTCCCTAGATTGTTATTATAATAGTAATGAAAGAATGGAGGCCTCTCTGTATTTATGCTTCACGTTTCTTTTATCCACTGGTTCTCCGCAGCAAACGGCCAGTGTTAGAATCTGCATCCTTGGAGTTCTGTTGTCGGGTTGGGCTGTCATCACACGCTTAGCTAATACCCTCTAGTAATTTTCTTATTCACATGCACACTTAATGTCCTTAGTCATTAGACTGAAAAATGTTAGCCTTGTCATAGTTAGTGACTGGAAGCAGAAAAGTCCATTTAGTTCTCAGGGGAATGGATTCTAATTTTCTGCTTGTCAGAAAGTGACATTTTACATATTTTTCTCTTTCCCCCTTGTCCCCCCCACCAATTTAGTGCTAAATTTAAATGTGTGTGTCATAGGAATAGACTTTTTGTCTGTGCTAGACACCCCAAAAGACTTGGCTGGTGTCCAGCGTGTGAGACTCTTGACCAATAGCTACTGCTAGAGCTCATTTCATGCACTGAAGAGAATGGGAGGTGAGAGTGAAAAGTTAGAAATAAGAGGTCACTGCAGAGGGCACATTAACATTGCATGTCAGAATGCATATTTTTCCCCCTGGAAAATATGGATGAAAAGCAGCTCATCTGGAATAAAATATCCAATGAAGAAACAAATTATGCTCATCAGGCAGGCTCATACTAATATTTGTCATTAAGATGTGACACCTTCTATGTAATGTCACAAACTACTGGGAGCCTTTGAAAAGTGTACTGCTTGGAAGGCAACTTGTCTGCAGATATTGAGTTCACTGTTCTATGAAAGGGAAATAACTTGTGTCTTGAAAAATGGATGGTGTTTATGGCAAAGAGAAATAATCCTCCCACAGATTACAGCTGTTCTTTGCATTGTGCTGGTGGTCTTATCTCATCAGTGGATATTTTATAAGTGTTTTTTTTTTTTTTTTTTTTTTTATATACATTTCCATAAAGCTGTTTTGAGAAGGACATTGTGTGCTGGGAGCTGGATGTATTTTGTGGAAGAGACGCCACTACAAAGAACTCAGAGTCTAAATTGAAAAGATGGGTGAAGTGAAAATAAGGGATGGTTATTCTGCTTTTTACAGATGGGAACTGAAGCAAGAGAGAGTGACTGTTGTGGCCAAAGTCACACTGGGAGTTCATGGAATTGCATCCTGATCTTTGAAGTCCAATTCCAGTATCTTTAGCTTATATTGTCTTTCTGTTTCCTTGCTGCCGAATGTAGGTTTGATATGCACATGTGTAATGAGCCAAACATGTTCTGCATATGTTTAGCCATATTCTGACCTTAGGAACATGAACCAAGCTTTTCCTGATATAGCTAGGAGTGCTTTCATGAGTGGGCTTAACCAAAGAGTGCAAAATAGTATTGGCATTTAGTTTAGGAAACATCTCATGGGCTTTTGATGGAACTGGTGATGCTTTTTTTTTTTTTTGTGATAATTTATAGATTACAGGTAATAATGCCTGTGTAATAATTAGAGATTCAGATAAAATTCAGAGATGGTTTCTGAATCTACACAAACATTTCCAAATCCTTTGTGTGGGGGGGAACTAAATTCCTCATTGTCCTGACTGATTTTTCCATTCTCCTTACTTAGGAAATATGTATTTCCTGTGCAGTTCTTTGGGCATGATTTATACATTATAATACATGACAAGTATATGCGTGCATAGTTAGAAGGGATAATGAAGAAAAGTAGTTGATGAAATTGAATTATGCACAATAAAATTGTAATTTTATAGAGAAGTTTGTAGTCATCAAGAGAGAATGAAGCTTGCTTGTTTACTTCATGTTGTGAGAGACCTCAGCTGGAACTACAGTCTTACGTGCTGTAATACTTTATGATGTCTCACTGTAATTAGAAATTCTTTTCTAACTTTATTTGATCTGTTTATGGGCATACCCTGCCCTGCACTCTCTTCTTAATAACTTCCTATCCTTTTATGCTATTCTGGACCTGTAGACACTACATCAATGGTTATCAAGGCTTCATTTAAGGAGCAATTGTGATTAAACATGGCTGTAAATCCATTCTCTGCAGTTTGGACAGATACGGCCCTGCCTGCAAGTAGCAGCTTGATTACAGGACCTGGGAGCCATCTGAAGTCTACATACAGAGCTCTTAGAAGCGCGGACTAGGGGAGGTTCACGATGGAGTCCAGTTCTGCCAGACAGTAGGTCCAATTTATTTTATGTCAGATATCCAAAAGCCACCAGATTTAGGTGAGAGAAGAAAACCAACCTCTTGGAACCTGAGCTATTGGGCAAACGCTGTAAACTGGATGTCACCTCACCATCTGGGGATCATTCAGTAGGCACAGGCTGATGAGGCAATGCTGTGTACTTATCCACTTTTTCTACATTAAAATTTTTGAAAATCACCAGTAGAGAGCCCCTTTTCAACACAGCAAGAGATTTGGCTCACTGGCTATGATGACCCTTTCTCATATGTGGATGCTTTTGTTATACCATGAACGCTGTCTGCATGTGCATTATAGCTCCAAAACAATCCTAGCAATACTGCCAAACACACACATGAAATGAATATAAAATACATTCCAAATAATTGCAGTATTTATGTAATTTTGCCTTCAGTGTTTCATGAAACCTCATCAGATTTTTAACTCCAGCAGAACCAGTAAGCTGATAGGTGTACACAGCAGCGCAGAGCGAGGCAGAGCCAGCCTGGTAATGCCTGTCACCATTGACAGTGACTGATTAGCAATGACTCCAAGGGTATAAATGAAAGGAGAATTAAAAGCAGATTTAGGGAATCCTTTTTCTTTCTTGAGTCCTTTAAGTATAATACTGCACAACTACAACTGAACACAAAGAACCTGTTTTGTTCTGAGCCATTGTGAGAGCTGTTGAAATTGGTCTTTTCTCATTTGCATAGAAGTCAAACGATTGAGGGCATAGCTCCTAGGGCAACAAACATCAGTGCTTCCTGAGAGCAGCACCACTGCTGCACACACTCACCTCTCCTGTGACAGAAGCAGCACAGCCAGCCTGGTTTCTCAGCACTTGGGGTTAAGCAAAAAGGGCTATTTTGTTGTTGCTAGCAATGTGTCCTTGCACAGAACTAACAGCCAGAAAGGAAATGAGGTGGGGGACATCTGTCTGCTCAACTGAAGGAATAACCCATGTCCCTCTCCAGCCTGGGGGCCCTGCGATACCGACACTACTTGGTAACTATCTTGGCCTCTGCTAAGAGAAAGTAAATGTGCGGGGATTGTTCTTTAAGCAAGTGTTATGCTAAGATGGAAGCTGCACTGCACATAATGGGGAGCACAAGAAATTACTGTAGATTTCATTTAAATAAAAAGGATATGGCTGTGCTCCCGCAATAAGACCATAATGGCTGCGTAGTTTTTCCAGACAAGGACTGTAGCTTGCTGGTTTTTTTTGGGCTCTTGTTTTGTTTTTGTTTTCACTCCAGCTTTTAAGGATGAGAATGTTGTGTCTGACGCATGTCAGCAAGCAAAGGAGATTCACTAGCTTAGCTGGGTTCGTCTTGCTCCCCTGTGAGGAATAAAAGCGTTAACTGTCTCTCACTTCAGGAGGAGAAGGGGGAGTGTTTTCAGCCTGCGAGAAGTGAGAAGGCATTGCCAGGTTTAGGTCAGGCTGGAGCAGGGGGCTGTGTGGCGCTCTCAGCAGGACAGATTAGCTGGGTGTCACACGGCAGCCTGGAGGCATCACGCGGAAAAGGCAAGAGACAGAAGCGTGTGTGCGCGCGTGCAGGGTGTGGGGGGTGAAGGCTGCCATGTCTTGTTTTGGTGCAAGGCTGTTCCCTACAACAATGATCCTTCTGGAAAGCAGACTTGGAAGATGGTTTGCATAAAGAGCCTTTGTCAAGGAAGCAGAGAAAGAAAATGGCCACTACTGCAGTTCCTGCATTAGAGCTATTTACAATGCTGTTGTCTGAGCTGTTAAAAACATTACTTAACAAGGCTCCTGAGCAGTCATATTTAATCCCAGTCTGGTGCCTACAAGGCCTGATCCTGCAGTCAATTGCACCCAGTGAAGCTGGAGCCATATATCTGTAAAGGACTGGGGGAAGACAAAGGATTCTTTCTGTTCTGTTTATTTCTACATGGTTGCATCTATTTTTATGCTTTGAAGTTCTTAGGTTTATTTCAATCACAGGTTTTTCAGTGAATCATATGAAGCACAGCAGGGGAAATATGCGGGAAAGTGCCAAATTCAAAGCTGAGTCAAATGGGTAACACACACCCTGGAACCACAAGGTGTAGTTTACGTTAATAAAAACACATCATATTGATTCATCATTTCAGACTTCAATATAGCTGTGTATCTGTCGCGCCTCCTGTCACCAGCCTGTCACCAAAACAGGCTGTATAAGGTTAGCAAATAATAAAGAAACAGTAGAGCTTAGAATAGAGACCTGGTTGGCTGGCTCACAATAAAATTTATAAAAATGTATCTCCATTATTATTGTTCATTTTCTAGCTTAGCGATACAAGTCCTTCTCTCCGTTCCAAAACAGTTAAATGAATAGATATAAATTTGACAGTTCCTAAAATTGTAGCTTGCCTCATTATTGCAATGCGTGCAATGACCACAGGTTTAAAGATCTTTTAAGACTGAGTGAATTCAGACCAAGCCCTAGCTTCTTCAGTTGAGTAAATTTAGTTTTTGCCTGTGCCCTATCTAGAGTTTAGGATAGGCATCCAAGTATTCAAAGGTTGTGATGCCACAGGGCTTTCGATATGCTTCAGTATGGTTTGTATTGCAATACAGAAAATGTCTGAGGAACACGTATGGAACCCTGAGACGCTGTTTTCTCGGTCTTACAAAGACATTGGAAAGTGGCACCAGAAGGAATTTCAAATGATCTTTCCTTGTAGCCCTCTGCCTGCAGTAACAGCAGCTTACACCTCTATCATGTAATAGTTTTTTTGTGGATTATTTAAGGAGTAAATCTAGTATTTGAAATTCTACTATTTGTTATTGTTCATTTTAAATTGTGGAGAAATGAAGCAAGAAATTGAATAGAGTTTTCTTAGTTTGTTACCAGGAAGTGCAGAACTTTTATACATTTTTTACTGAAATGAAAAAAGAAATTCACCGCTCCTGGGTGAAAAATGATTACCTTTTTCTCAGCTATCCTTGAAATCCTTAGCTTTTTGTTACTGATGCAAGTCAGGAGTAATAAACTTAAAAGATATAAAAGATATGACAGGTAATTATCCTCAGAGATACTCTTTAAAAAAAAAGCTATTTTAATGTATTGTACCATAATGTACCTAGCATGCTGTAAAATGTAACCTCTATCATGCATTTCCAAAGAGCAGGAAGTCTGCTTATTCTAAGCTCATTTTTTTTTTCAGATGCTCTCATCTCTTACAAAAGAAAAAAAAATGCACCAAGAAGTAACAAGCAGCCTTTGATCTATAATTTCCTGTGCTGTTGCTAAACACAGTGAGTTTTTGTACTTGTAGAAGGTTTACTAAGGTTGTGTAATGTTACTTTTGAGATCAATGTACTGATTTAAGAATAAATAAATCATTAAAGGCTGGAAAAATCTTACACTGGGGATCAGACATAATGATGCTTTTTGCTAACCTGTCTTAGAACCTTTTGAAGCTGCAGTGTTCTGAAGAACACATTGCTTTTTGTGTCCAGCCTGAACTTTGTATGCTATGGTAAATACAGCTGCATCTGCTTAAATGAATAAGAATTAAAATTAACCTGCCGTGTTTACTTTTATGTCTGATTCCATCTGATCCTTCTTCTCTAAACATCTGGTGAGCTGCCTTCCCGAATGCTGAGATGCTGTCCGTAAGATAGTGTGTGATGGCCAGCTGAAGCCGTGGCAGTTTGTGGATGGAGGAAAGGTAAAGACAAGTGCTTCACAACTCTCTTCATGGATACAACCCCCAGCTTCTCTGCAAAACTTGTCCTAGGTGACCAGTGGCTTGCCACCACTGAATGGTTTTAAATATTTCAGACTCTGTAAGGGCCTGTAAAACCCAGTGTTTGGACTCATAAGCACGTCTTTAAAGGTGGCAACATCAAAGTCTTTAAATTGAGATTAAAAGCAACCCTGTGGTACCATTCAGGTTATATCACAGAGTTTACCAAGATAAACCTTAATGAAAATAAGCCCACTACTGAGACAGACAAGGAGTAGTCTTTTAATTTCTTTGACCTGTTTTTTGTGTAACAGAGCAAGTGTTGACGTGTGAGTAGTCTGAAACCCTAAGGTCAAAAATATCTCCAAATCATCTGACTTGGACAATGGACATTGGACTTGGACAATATGACAATGTCCATTTCCCGTATTGTGTTTCACTGGTGCAACATGAATCAGATTTTAGCAATTTCTGTGCTGTTTTTGCAAAGTTTCTGGTTTTGTTTTGAGTATTGCTTCACTGCTGGTCTTTTCCATGTCTGACAGAGTAGACCAAATTGGTACAGTTTTTTTCACTGGACCTGATCAGTTTCAGGGCATAACGGTATCATTTTCCAGAACAGTTCAATTTATGACACCATAGTCCTATGAAATGGTTTGACATGCTTTCGACTAACAACTTTTCAAATAACAACTTGATGGGATGTGAAAACCACAGGAGTCAGGAAGGAGGTAACAGTCAGCAAATGGGCCTTATCTGTCTTGCTACACGGACACTTATGCTTGCAAGGGGAACTAAATACAACACATTTAGGAACATAACGCAAGGAGTGACCTGGACTGGGCTTCACATGGGAGCAGAGATTTTGTTCTGGTTGACAATGACTGTGTTTGGCTAGTATTTGCTGTTTTGGGACTTTATAGAATGTGGAAGAAACCACAAAGAATTCTTCACTAAAGGAAACGATGTGTGTGAATGCCTTAGATCTCCAAAAAGGAAAAAAAAATTCACCTCCCCTGTTTTGCAAGGCAAACAATCTCAGAATGAAAGTTACTTCAGGCTGACAGAGCAGCCACAGCAGGAACTGGAGCCAGTAATTTCTGCACAAATTTAGGACTGTAGTAGGTATCCATTAGGGTAGTCAGAGCATGTACCTTTGTAGCAATGTCTCATGTAGAATAGCAATTAGAGTCATTCTCTAAGTGGCCACATTTTACAGCAGCTAAATCAATTGGCCGTCCACATGCTGTGTGTGATTTTCCTTTTGCATGTCTCAAGACTTACAGCAACATTTCTATGGTGACTGCAATTTGACCAGTGCTACTTACACAGAATCACTATTTTACTATCATCTGATCAAAAATCTTTACTTTCTGCTGCAAATGCATTTTAAATAAATTTAAATCTTTCAAATTTGAGCTCCCTGTAAAATGTCTTGTATTAATTGAATTATAAATAGCAAGTGCTTGTTCTATGCCAGTTCTAAAAACACAGAAAAGAACACATTGTGAAGTGCTGTTTTTTTTTTTGCTACCCAATTATGTTGTTGATAAAGCAAGCGCTTATGAGAAAGATAATTCTGATTTCATAGTTCTTCAACTTAAATGCAATTGTCATTTAAGACTCTATTATTATTTCATCACACTCCCAGAAAGGTATAACCAAGCAAAAATCCACAGTAGCAAAAATGCATGGCTGACCTGCTTTAATGTCTTGCTGTGCTGATTGTGTATCGAATACACATTATTTTTTTTTTTTTGCATATGCAATTCTGAAAGTGTACTCCATAGTTTTTCTCTAAAAATGGCCTGTTACAACGAACTAGTTTATCTGGAAACAATAGTCAAAAAATAAGATGGCCTTAGTTCTCTGAAAAATTTGAGTCAACTATGGAGGAATTGATAAGTCACTTTGTTAATATGAACCATAGGTCACCAAAAACATTATAAGTGACTACACCAAATGAAGCTTACACTGGAGCATAGAAGACATCTAAATACACTATCATCCTGTTTTCAAATTCTGGTGAAAAATAAAGCACATAACTTTTTATATATGTTTAGAAACACCTAATTCTGCTCTGACTTGCACAGAAGCAGAAGCCTAAGACACTTACGTAGAATTACAATTCTCTTGACTTTTGCTGCATTTTTGAAGTGATTTAATTTTGTTTTGAAGCATTTTTCCAGTGTGTGCACTGAGTTCACTAACACTGTCCTGACCTTGGAGATAGCATGATATTTTACAGTGTGCAGTGACATTTATGTGCCCAGCTTGGCTTCAATAAATAGGTTAATTTCCACAAATTAGATGCCAGGTTTGAAAGATTACAAGGTGATTTAATAAACCTGTATCAGCTATTTGGATTCGCAGCTGAGGCAGTTGACTGGGCAGTCCTTTGTCAGTTGCAAATCCAAACCAGCTTTTTGGGCTGGGAAAAGAAATGGTCAGGTTTATAGTACCAAAATCCCAAACATTAGGATCAGCAATTGATTGATTTATGCTATAGGAAGTTTAAATTGTAAGTAATACTCCTTACGCTTTCCCCCTTTATATTACTTATATAAACAAGTATAGAAACCTAGTAATGAAAATAAAGCATTTAAAATTTAAATAAAATATAGTTCTTATAATTATCTTGCTTGTTCAGTGAACAGTTTACATATGTTATAGTTAGTAGCTAAACTGCAATTTAGTTTAGATTTGCAGAGTCTGATTCCAAGTAATTCTTTATTCTGATTTTCAAGCAATGTGACCGAAGTTAGTTCTGCTGTGTATTCTCATTCTTTGGTAATCTTTCCAAAGGATATGCGTCATTTCTCCATTATTTGTAAAGAATATGGAAAAAGTAAAATATTATTTTGTGGGCATTTGGAACTGGATATAAAAAAAATAGGCGGGATGTTGATAACTGTGAGTCATTTCTTGGGAAGAAGGAAAGAGCAAACACTAGCTGCTGACCTACTGCTATGAAAGCCGTGGACTTACTGCTGACTCAAGAAACAGATATTGATTGCTGCAGAGAACAATGGAGATCTTGTAGCAGGATTAAAGAGAAAAGCCTTTCCTCTTTAAGCAATAAGGAGTATTAAGGAACTGCCTGTGTTAATTTCTTGGAGGCTGCTATTTGTTTCAACAATCTTCTATTTTAAATGTTAGCCAGCTAGAACTAGAACCAAATAGCTGCTACAACTAAAGAGGCTCCTTCTGAGTTTTTAGAAGTCCTGGCAAACCTTCAGGTAGGTAAGAGCAAGACTGAACTCTACAACTCTGAGACAGCTACACCAGTAACTCCCAGCGCAATCCTCTACTGTTATCAGATATGTAAATACATTTAATGTAAAAGGTACCTTGTGACACATGAGAGAATACTGCACATTTCTGAAATAAATAGTTGGCACATACATCACATCATCCATTTCACTTAAACAGATATTCCAGTGCTTTGCTGATAATGCATTCCTCTTATGTCCATTTGCTTTGCTAACATCGTACTAATAAACGTCTATCGTCTTCTTTATTAGTATCCAAGGGAACTATGTGCTTATTGTAAACCAAAAATCTCGGATCTCTCATCACTGACAGGAGGAACCAATTCATAAAGGCTTATCAGACACTGAGAGACAAGATTGATCTAATGCTCATTCCAATGCTCATTCAGCTGATATTTTGATTGATTTTAATGGCAGGTTATCCCTGAAAGTTTCATTAAGCATATCATTTGTACAGTATGGAAAAGTATTTAATTTTATCTCTCTCCATCGTTATATTATCAATATAATATTATTATATTGTAATGTGCTGTGTGGTGTGGTATGTCTGGTAAAAATGATACAAGCGAGATTCCACAAACTTGCCAAATCTAAATGCTATGTAACAGACCTTTCAAACAAAGAGTGAGTAGTTGATAGCCTGAAGAATGTCTTGTAGGTTACTCAAGAAACTACTGGTACTGTTAATGTCAGTTGTTTTTTCTTTTGATGTCTACACAAATATTTCTGAAAATAAGCTTGCCATAAGAAATTATTTGATAACATGTTGTTGTTTGTATGTAGAATGTGTTAAATGATGCATGACGATGGATGGATTTAGAAATTTTCAATGCAAGAAAATATTTGTAGTAGGCCAATTTAGCTTCCATCTTTTTTTTTTTTTTTTTTTTTTTGTAACAGTTTTGCTTAGAAATTTATGCTTAGAAACTTGCATTTTGATCAATTAATTGAACAACTAAAAAAACTGCTTTGATACCAAAACTGTTTTTTGAAAGTGACTTCATTTTGCTGAATGGCTTTTGTATGATTTACTTAAACCAATCAGGCAACTCCACTGGAAAGAATTTAATTACTTACCTAAGTACACAAACTGCCAGTAAAGCATGCACAACGTAAAAGACAATGCATTTAATAATTATGACTTAAATAAACTTATGATTTGCCTGTTTGTTTTGTGTGTTGTTTTTTCTTCAAGCTACAGTGGGTATGCTATAATGAAACCTGATAATTATCTTTTCTGGAGGTGGTTGTTTGGGATTTTATTTTATTTATTTATTTATTAACGAGGAAAGCTTCTTTCCAAATATAAGGGTGCAGTTTCATGGCAACTTGAGACAATTTAAGTTATGCCTGCTACTGTCCTCTGCACCTTCCCATCCCTTCCTTTTGTAAAGGAGTCTCTTTTATGCTATCTCAGGCATGTGAGCAACTCTGTAGTGAGCTCATTCAAAGTGCTGATCTAACTGAAAACCAATTCTACAACGCAGATTCCAATACTGGTAAGTGATGGATTAAGCAGCAGTGTAGGAACATATCAAGAGTATGGCAGTCTGTATCTATGTTTGAATAAGCTGCTGTGAAACTGAGTCTGAGCGGAGGCTTTCACAGAGATACAACTGAAAAAAGCAGTGCTCTGCCATTTCAAAACACGTTTTTTAAAAACTTTCAATAAATATTTTAAAATCACACCGTTACTAACACTAACAAAAGAAGTACCTGCTCTCTTACAATTACATGAATTTATTCATTGTTGCTTCTAAATGAATCTGAAGCAGTATTAACAGCCTGAATGCTACAGATTTCAAAAAAATGAGCAACAAGTAAAATGCTACATTAAGATGTTCACACGTTACCAAAATGACTGTGGACGTTTAGATAGATTTCAAAGGACAAATTTTTAACAGTCCAGTAGAGAACATTAATTTAGGAACACAAGTGGATCTATGTGCCTAATTGTTATTTCTTAATGTCAGTCAGAGGGTTCACATGGCCACTTCAAATCCTTGAAAAAGGTACCTTTGCTGCTCTGGATTTCAAAACAACGTTCAAGTTCCAGCCCAGGAACAGATGATCTCCAGCCAATAAATCCCTGGGTAGTCTTAGGTACTGGAGGAGATGGATTCACCTAGAATAAAAGTAACATATAGAATTCAATAATTAAAAGATTTTTGATTGTTATTTCTGTCATGTAACATCTTTTCTGCTCGAGTGGATGGAAATGAGAGCTTGTTAAAAATAGTGGTTTTAAATGCAATCCAATGAATTAATATCCTGAACACACACTGACATTAATGGAAAGAAATAATAACTTCAAAAGATTGCCTAGTTGAATGCAAGTTTGATTTATCACGCAGAATGACTTATAAGTTAAAAAGTCCTTAGGATAGTTTAGGTCCTATTCTATAGCAAGGCATAGGGGAAGACAGAAGTAAAATGGCCAAATTCCAGTGAAGTAACTTACTTTTATCTACCACTCTTTTTAATAATTCTTTTAGTGCCTCAATTGGTATGTATAACAGGAAATTAAAAAAAAAGTTATTAAGTAATATATGTTAGCATACTTTATATATATATATATATATATATAGTTTTGCTCAGTATGTTTCTAAGGGCTTTACTGGATTTACATAATTAGAAGAATTTAAGCTTCAGCTCTAACTTTTTTTCTTACAGAATAATAATAATATTTAAGCTCGTTAACATCTCTAAACAGGAAAAACAGCATTTTACACTTGATGCAATGCATTTGGTAGCAATGCAGCTATGAAATAGTAATTTTGTGGCCAAATGCTAAAGATATTACTGACTAAGCTGGCTTTTTCATCCAGAAGTACTTATCCATCCCACTTTTCTACTTTAAAAGATGGGTAAGCATCAAGTTAATCTGCAACTAATCTTGCTAAAAAGGAAACACACCAAAAGCCAAGAACCTCTGTTCACTGACTGCTGTGCTTACTTTGGCTGAATCTTCCCAATCGGGCATGTTATATCATTTTAGCATCTGGGGACTTAGTAGAGAAATACACAGCAAGAGAACAATGTTTCAGTTCTCTTGCCAGAGTTGCTTCACTTTGTTCTTTGGCCAAGATTAGAAAATGTTTATGATATTTAGGTGGAGCAGTTCCTCTGAAAAGATCATTTTTATGGCCAAATGTGCCACCCACTGAGCTGGATAATAGAGGAAACTATGTCCTACTTACAATCTGGGGGAAGGGACTATGAAGAACCAATTATTAATCTAACCTAGAGAGAACAGATATAATGACTGTTACCATGAAGGTAAATGTGCAGAAAGACACACAGTTCTGAAAAAGGACTTAAGAAACTTCAGTCTGAATGTGTAGAGGGTGACCTAAATCACACCAAAAAAAAAAAAAAAAAAGGATTCTGAGGTGAAATGGAAACTCTGATCCCTGGTTCAGTATGCACCAGGCTACATATGCTACTTTAGCAGCTGATAACTTGTGCGTGTGATTTCTAACACGCATCATTGTGCAGCAGAAGCAAACCTGACTGACAGAAATTGGATGCTTGAGACAAAACTGAAGAACAAGTAGCACTAATGGCAGAAACGCTGGCATTTAATTTCTCTGTCACACTCAACACTTATTTTTTATTTCAGTTTAATTTTGGTATAAGCTTTTATTACTTGCTCACTTTATCTTGCCACCATTGGAATCCTTTGAAAGAAAGTTCAACAAGTAGGAATTTTCAATCATCTCTTTTCTTCCCTTAATCTTCCAAGTAGAATAACCTTCCTTTTTGTTAGTGTGCTCTGCTTCCCCTTTTATATGTTCCTCTCCCCTTGTCATTGATTTAGCCTCCTATGTAGTTATTCAATTCAGTGGTGATTCTTACACTGTATATTTATAAATCAAACCAAGGTTCTCATTCCACTAATTTCTAACTGTGAGACAAAACATACATAAATCATACAATATAAAAGCAAATAGTTATGAATTGGCTCATTAGAACTTGACTTCTCCTGGCCAACCTAATTTGTGCCACTGAAGAGGACGGTGGCATCATCTCGGCCAAAAAGAATACTGCCTTACCTTACATAAAGCTAGAAAAATGGCTGCATCTTAACCAATAGTTAAAACAGAGAGATAAGGTTATGATAAGCCTTGAAGTAAGATATTTGAGCAATGAATGGTCAGCAATCATAAACAGCTCTGTGAACACTCTTCTGTAAGAAGCTGTACAGATGACTGTTCTGTTACTATATGCCACAAAGGAGAGTACGAGGGAGGGGCTTTACAGAAAGATTACATACAGTGAAAGCTCTGTGAACTAACAACCATATTCAAAGGGCAATCCCTTGTCTTAAATGAATGTTTTTAAAGCGTTGCTTGCGTTGCAAATACAATTTACTCTGACCTTTATTTAAAGGCCCACTGCTACAAGACAACTGATTTTTAGAGCTTGCATAGTTTCTGAAGACAGGTATTGCTGTACTACAATTATAAAATCTAATTTTCTAACCTTAATATATTTTTCCACGGGGGTCACAGGTCGAATCTGCAGATGTTCTGGAAGCTGTATCTTGGGCTTTGTTTTTTCTTTCTTTTCATCTTCAATCAACTGACATAAAAAGTATCATTAAAAAAAAAAAAAAGACTAGTATCAATACCATTTCCCTTATTGCAGCATTTGTACACCCTGTTCTTTCTACCTAAAACAGGACTACTTAATGTAGTTAAGAAGAGTGTAAGAAGAGATTGGACTGTGCTCTTAGTCACATGGTCTGAACTTTTGGGTAGACCTGTGCGGTGTCAAGAGTTGGACTTGATGATCCTTAAGGGTCCCTTCCAACTCAGGATATTCTATGATTCTATGATTCTAGTGCTTTGGAAATCACTGTAATGTACTTTTTGTTTTCAGAATGTGATATAATTCTGAATTTCAGATAACATGCAAAGTGATTCCAACTCTCTTGCACCACTGGTGCAAGACAGGCTAGAAAGATATCTTCTGTATCTTATATGACCACAAAACAAAGATTAATAAATGATAATTTCACATGTTCACCAACAGTAACAATGCATAGAGTTTGTCAGTCTTTCAGCTGTAGATCTATTAGCATTGTGCAAAGGTGGTATACGTGACACACTATGGTTATCACGGATGGATGTTGAAGCCTAAAGGACCAAATATTTTAAAGGTGTTAACTTGGTTGCCTATAGGAATTTTCAAAAAATCCCAGAAAAGTTTAAGTACTTATAGCTCCACGGTTAGTAAATTTATAGCCTTATTCAAGGGATGCATCAATCCTGTTCTTCAGCAATTAAATATTGTGATTGCAAAGGTAACATTATGTGATACTATATTCTAATATCTAAACATCATCGAGAATAGACATCTCTCCAAATATTTTAGTTTGCTGTAAACTTCTCCACTGAAAATTTAATTAGCTAGAACCTTTTCCCCTTGATTTTTAATCTACCATATGGATAGACAAAGGGGAAATATTTTCCTGTCAGTGTGCATCTAGTACTTGTTAGCACTATTGGGAGTCATGCTTCTCAAGAGAAATATATCAGAATGTGTATAGCATATAAATTACCACTTGCCATATTTTGTTCAGGGGAAAGCTGAAACTTTGAAACCATCTTAAAGGTACTGCATTTGTTAACTGTGAACCTAACTTAGGAAAGCATACTCATTACTTTTCTACACTTCTGTGCTCTCATCGTGTTGTGTCCAGATAAATTTGTGTGCAAATAAATTTCACGTGTTGCTTATATACCATTCAATTTTACCTCTGGAGGTGTTTTCAAGAATCCCCATTTGTGAGACCACTTTTTTGCAGCTTCTAGTTCGCTTTCAATGTATTTTTTCCTGAAATGGAAGAATATTTAAGACTTTGAAAGATACCTTTTAAAAGGTAACAAACAAAATAAACAAACAAACCCAACAACTGTTGTCAAAAAGCACAGCAATGGCATGAATCTTTAGTCCTCTGCCTCAAAATAGCAAGTTATTGTATGTGTTAACAATTCTCTGACTCAGGGATAATGGTAAATATTTTCCATGATGAAATGGAAATGAAAAACTATGCATGAAGGTACTTCTTCACAGGTTATATTTCCATTAGGAACTGGAGGAGGTCACGTTTGTTGTGACACCTTTTTAGAAAGGTGTGAGACATAAGCACCGATGTGCTTTCATACACCTGCTTTTAACTCCATTTGCTGATGAAACTTCTTGAAACTTTCCCATTTAGTGATTTCCCAATTAAGTGATGTCCCCACCGTGCCCCAGCCCTGCTCCCTGGTGCTCACGCTGAGGGACTGGGGCAGCTCTGGCTCCCCGGGGTCTGTTACTGCAGCTTCACCTCTCACACCTGAGGGGATGAAAACCCTTCGGCTTTCTGAGGGTATCAGGGATCTGAGCACACACAGTGTGGGGGACACCCAGCGTTACCACTTCGTGTGAAACACAAATATGAACAAATCCCTGCGCTGGCAAGGCAGAGCTTCCAGAGAGGCTGCCTTGCTGGGACGGGGCAGCAGGGGAGGCCTGGGACCGTTACCAGCAGTTGTCCACCGCTACGAAATTGCACGGCTGCCCCCCATCGCTGCGGCGCTGCGCCATGGGGCCGGGCCGGGCCGGGCCGTTGGGGCGTCGCCGTGTGGGGCCGGGACGCGCTCGTGCCGAGGGCGGGCGGGAAAAGCGCGGGCTCGGCACCGCCTGAGGTGGCTTCGTGACGCGCGGCTTGCAGGTGAAGGGCAGAAAATAAACACCCTGGGTTTCCTCGTCACCTTAAAGTCCCTCAGAAAAGCGAGTTTGACGTTGCTAGTGATTTATTTTTATTTTTATTTTTATTTATTTATTTTTTAATGTCGCTCAGCGCAGAAACATGTTTGAGCTGAGACGATGAAAAGTGTGTGAGGAGGTAGCGTGTGTCCGAGGAAGAAGAGGTGTTTTCTGAACCCGCAGTTCTGCTGAGCTGCGAGGGGGCTTTAAAATCCCGGCAGGGGACTTTGGTCACAAAACCTGTGGTATTTTTAATTGCAATAGATGTGAAAAATGGTTGGAAGGTGTGCCATTTTTTATTCCAAAGAGAGTTGGCTTGTTAACATGCCCAACACCTCATCTGTGTGTATGAGGGATACTTTCTGTTTTCTAGGCTTTTAACCTGCCATCTCTCGTCCTTTGGTGCTCTTGATGTGCACCTTGCTACACACGTTTGATTTTTGGTGGTTCTAGCAGGGAATAGCATAGGTCTTGTACTCTTTACAAATTACATGCTAAGAGTAGAAGATCTAAGAAAGATCCCAGTCCTCTTTATGGGTTATACAAGAAAACCTCTAAAAATATTTACAGCTTGTTAAAAGTTCACTGTGTTCCACTATATTAATATTTTTTGCTCTCCGTCAAATCTGAGGGGCTTTTATTTTCTTGCTGTTGCTTTATAAATCATGGTTCTTTGTACGTAGGGGTTTAAATAGTTCCCTGGCCCCTTCATGGGAACGGCTTTGTACTAACGCTGTGAATAGTTAGGGTAACTTACTGACACCAGTGGACAACTATTATCCGTATTATAAAATAACTGCAGAAAGATTTTGAGCTGAGCTCTGTGGTTTATAGGTAGTGTGTTTGAATGCTTAGTTGATAGTTTTTTTTGTTGGTGGTGGTGGTTTTTTTTTTTCTCCTGTAGAGCAAAATAACTGAACGTCTTAAATACTTGAATATGAGAAGTCTGTAAATACCTTTAGGAGCCATTTTAGACATACCAAGAACTTCTGTTTGAATAAGAGGAAAAAAACAATTTGTAATCCTAAAATAGTAATTAATACTGCTCTTCTGGGTTTCCAAAAATCATTAAACTATCAGCAAATTTAATATTTCACTTACATGCCATTTCTTGACTCTCTAATTGATAATTAGACTAGCAATTAGATCAGCTGGGTGTCCTATCACACCCATAAATGCTTACTCATTGTCCTATTTAATTAACTCCTGCTGCTTAGTCACATTTATCTCAGGAGCTCTCTTATTACAGTCTGGATGGTTTCCGTGAAAATAAGTAATTTGCTAATGAAAGCAATCAAAGTGATAGTTTACTATATGTCAGGATTTAAACTGTAGTAGCATTTGTCAAAAGAGAATGAAACTTATACTAATTATACTATTTTTTCAGATGGGGTGATGCAAATATGTGAATTGTTAGCTTTAGGTCTTATCAGGTTCTTATGAGCACAGGGCAACATTAAAACATAGGCAATGTGAACCAAGGAAGTGAAATAGGATTTTAATGAACTACTAACTATACAGAATGGCTTAGGGATACATGTCCAGTGAGATCCAAAGGCCATTTGCTGAAAGTCTGGGTCTTGTAGTTAAATACAGCAGCGTTTGTCAACATGTGGCAAATGGTGAAGCAGATAATAAATCACTGTAGACACGTGTTTAAATAGAATCAAGTCTAAAGACTTGGTGCCTTGTCTAAAGGCAAGCAATATTTGGATCTTCTAAGAACTAATGTGGCTATAATGCTAAATCCTAAGGCCATAAAAGCTAAAATCCTCCTACTACTGCTTATTCTGCTTCCAGTTAGAAACTACCCAGTTATTAGGTACTCAGTAGTGCTGCTGTTGATCAAGTGAATCTTCAAGAACTTACAACTTGTATGTAACAAAAAGTAGCAGATTGGCCTCTTGAATTTTAGATATTCTTTCACCTGCCATAAGGCACCACCCCACTGCTGTGGAATTCACATGTTTTGGTTTTGTTTTTACAGACCCTTTGCTCCCTTCTCACTGCAGGTGTGTGCTGTGTGTTGATAATGATGCAGCTTTGGCATGGTTGATACAAGTACAGGTGGTGCTGATCTGTGAAATATGTTAGAGAACCAAATAGATCCTGCAGTAAGAGAAGATCAGATTGCTGATATAATCTGTTATCAAGCAGTTGAGCATCCGCAATCAAAACAATAGATGGAATGGGGACAGGAGGAGTGATACATGAGCTGAAATGAACAGTTGAGTTAGGTGGACATCTTAAAACTGGGATGGTGGCTTTACTGGTGTCATTCATAGTCTTCAAGATGAATTAATTTCTGTTTTCTGGGAATTTTGTGTGTCTACCCTGACATGAAAATGTTAAGGCTTTTCATATTGCTTGTTCATAGAGAAATGTCCAAATTAACATACAATAACTTTTTGTGCTAATCTGGGAAATTGCTTGGAAGGAAAAAAGTTCTCCTTCAGGCTCTATGCAAGTATCTGCAAGTGTTGTTCATGAGCATCTCAACTTCCAATGAATGAGCAGAGGTTGATGATTCCAGATTATTCTTGTGCTCAAGTGCTGTAGATGCAGGTATAAAGTACATCATGCTTGACAGTACTCTAACCCAGCTGTTTTGTAACTTTTAGCTTCAGTTATGAAGTCAAACCTAGGTCATGTCCCCAGTTCGAGCATCATGTTATCAATTGCACAGATTTTATTGCACTTAACTATTCTTGCCAGTAGAGATAAGAGTCCTCTGCCTTTCATCAGAGAATGGGTAGGAAAATTAAAAAAAGAAAAAGTTTATTTTTTGTCGTAAATGGTGTTTTGAGTATTTTTATATTTGCTGCTACTAAGCCCATAAACATAAATTATTATTTTAAATTATCCAGCACAGAATTGCAATTAGATCTAAATCCTTGATCTCTTTACTAAGAGCTCTTCATTGTTCAGGTTGGAAGTATACCAGGAAAAAAAAAGTTCAGCTGAGAATCCTCTCTGAGACGTTTGGGATGGTGTAAAAAATCCATTGCTATTTCTCTATTTTGCTCCCCTGTGTACATGCAAGGAGAGTGCAGACAGAGGTGGCTTGAGAAACAGCAGCACGTAATGTGGTTTGGCAGGACAGTCCCAGAGGAACTCATCTGCTTGGCTCAGCTTAGAGGAGGTTTTAGCAAGGTAAGGACTGCCTGAACTTCTGGTAGGCCCAGGCCTGTAGCAACATAAACCTGCCTGGGAGATTCTTTCAATGCTGTCCTCTCCTCATGTTGTAACACTGTGCTTCATCAGCAGCAGCAACTGCCACAGTGCATGGGAAAGCAAAAATATAAATGATAAAGTAGGACTCTTTTCCCCCTTTATGTTCTGAAAGCTTACAAGATGAGAAGTACTCATCAGCAAATGAACCTTTGAATAGTGTACTTGTTTTCTGAACACTTTTCAAACTTGCAACTGTAAAGATCGAGTATAACAGAAGTATGTTTCTTATGAGGAGATGGGCATTATAGATGTAATTCTGCTTGGAAACAGCTGCAGCACAGGGGGCTTGGCAACTTCTATTGTATTGTGTTCTGCTGGCATAGATGTTGCTGTTGTGTTCTATCTGAGATGTTCCAACACTGCAATGTTATGCACGTGTTCATGATTTAGGAATTGTCTCAGGGCTGTGCCACTATCGTGTGTGACCAACAAGACCCACACGCTCCTGATGTGATGTGACTGTTGCTGTACATCTGGCGGCTCTGCGGGGGCAACTGTTAGTGCTCTGACTTGGCTGCTTGGCTGGAAAGTGCAAATACTCTACACAGATGGGAGATAAAGCAGTGAGGGAAAGGAGAATGTTAATGTCCCTAAGGAAACTCACAGTGGTGTATACCAGTCCATGTTCTCTGGTTTTATTTCTGAAGGCTTGCACTTCACACTATAAGCACTACCATTTTTGCATTTAAGAACCTGAAAAACATTTTCTTCTTCCAGGTACACACTAACCATCGATGCTTCTCTACTCTGAAGTGAAACCTCTGTAAATGAAGATGTTAGAAGCGTATGTATATCTATGTTTATGCTCTTCCATTGAAAATGCTTACCAAAAAAATCAATTAGCACTTTTGGGCAGTTCTGTACTTGTTGCTCCATGATACCATTTGCAATACTAAGTGTGGAAGCCTAACAGAGGAGATTTTAGAAACAACTTATGTCTTTTGCTAATATTTCTAAGTATTTCAGGTGTAGGAAGCTTGAGTGGTAAACTGTTAAAATTACTGTGATTTCTTTTAAACCAAATCCTATTGACATGATGGCTTCTGGCTTCACTCCAAAACCAAAACAAACAAAGAAAATAAACACACCAAAAAACAAACCCCAAATGAAAACAAGCAAACCCTTCTAAAGTGTGTACCATCAAGAATATGTTAATTGTAGTTCCTGGTTTACCATTTGAGAGGAATCCACGGCTGGGTTAGAACGGCTGGGTATTTTGTGGCCAAATTTAGAATGGTCAAGATCATGTTGTGGCTGTAATTATCCAACGACTTTTGAACAGTGTCCGGTGTCTCTATTTTCCCAGTAAAATGTTTTCTTTTCCATCTATAAAATGTCACTTTTACAGCTTTATGCAGATTTCTGTGCTTGAAAGGGATAAACAATCTTTACTGAATGTAGATACTTGTCAATAATTCCTCAGTTTCTGATTTTGAAAAGATTCATTGTTTTCTGTTTCAAAATAAAGATTTGCATGATACCTCTTTCCATTATCTTGGATGGAAACACCTTTATACTGTAGTTGTTGAAGTAAGTGTACACGCTCCCCAAATAAAAATATTTGCACTAGTGACATGGGGGGCTTTGTCATTTTCAAATTGGAGGACATATTTGCATTAAAATTCCTTCTTCATAGGCATTGCTCCTGGGCACTGCTCCACAGCTCCAATTGCAAGGGGCTTGCAGGATGCTGCCTGATTGCGGATTCAAAGATAGGGAACAAGACCACCACTTCCAGTCTCCTCATTGTAAACAGTTCTTGCAAATGCCCATGTGCAACATGTACCAGACTTCTCCCCCATTACGTGCTGGGGTACCTAGGCATATAACATGAATTAAAGGTTAAGTAAAAAAGACATAATTTGGAATTTTTTTGCATTCTATAAACTGAAATCAAACTCTTAATGGTCTTTGAAAGTATTTTTTTTCTCAATACAGTGCATGTTTCAAATCAGAAGAGCTGCCTTTTTTCTTTTCGCATGAAAGGCAGGGGGTCTAGGACATTTTAATAGCTTTCATATTCTACTCTGCAAATATATTATTGCAGCACAATAGTTTCTTTGCATGAGAATTGCTTAAATGATTCAAAATGGATTGAAAAATATATTTCAAGTTTTAATTTTATGCACAGAACATTAATGAGCAGTGCCCCTTAGAGACTTGCTGTCAGTTTAACATATTCACAATAATCTCAACACAGATGTTATTCCATCTAAATCCTTTTAGAGAGAAGAAACTAGTAATTTTTCCTTGGAGAACGTCAGAAAATATATTATTGTTGAAATTACATTTTGATCCCAGAATGCTATGTAAAATATCATTGCTAGGAAGAATAAGTAGCACATTGTTTCTGAAGTAAGATGCACGTAAAACTTCTTTGAGCCTTTTCTAAATTTTAGAATAAGTGAAATGTTGTTAGTCCCATGCAATTTTGCTTCCCTTGAGGGTGATTGTAGGTGATAATGGCTATGAGCATCTCATTGTGCTCTAATTTATGAGGGTATTTGGTTTTAGTTCAGATTTCTCTATTTGCAGCTATAATGTGATAAAGTTATTGCCTCTATTAGATGCATTTTTTCTGCTCTTCATCTGAGCACATGCATTAAAATACTTGCTAGGAAGAAAATATATACTTAGAACAACCTTTTTCTTGGAAACATTTGAAGTACACTTTCTGCTTTGTGTTCTTCAGTGTGCCATTGTTTTGCTTTTTGGTACACTCATGTTGTACTCTGGTTTTGTATATCTTGAAATATCTTTATATATATATTAGATGGGTCTTACTAGAGTATATGGCAGGTGAGTGTTCTAAGAATTCTTCCAGAACTGCATAAATACAAGAATAATTCTTAAAGTTGTTGATAGTGGAGTGCATACTACATTAGTTATATGCAAAGATAGTTGCTTAGAGTAAGTTCTCATTAGATTTCACAGAACTTTCACAGAAGTCTTGTGGAGGAGGAGGAGGATAAAATGTGAGAGTGCAGTTTGTCCATTGCAAAAAGCAGGAGAATTGCCAGTTGTAGTCAACACAGCATTCCAGCCTCTTTTTTGGGAAAGACCTGTAGCTCCTGCAGACATTTTGTGGGGGACTACTGACAGTAATAAAAGGTGCAGTTCATGACACATGAAGTAAGACCTCTGTTTCAAAGCTAAGGTCTGTTTTACGAGCCTTGATGCAGAAAATCATATGGGAGGGTGTCTTGCTGAAACTACAATGCAATGGAATACCCTTTATGCAAATGTATTTGTTTTGCAAAAGCAGATAGCTTGATGTGAAATAGCTGTTCATTTCTCCGCTTTGCTGTTAAGAATGCTAAAGGGAAAACAACTGTTAATATGATGATATAAAATAGCTGCAAAACTGTAAGCAAACAAGAGTCTCAGATAAAATCTCAGAGTACAACTGCTAAGTTTAAATAGAATATGTTTTATTTAAAGCTTAAAATTAACCCAAATCCAATTGAAATGTAAAGGTAATTCATATAATCTTACCACTAAATTTTTAAAATTACTAATGCATTTTTTATTGATTGAGCTTGTAAATATAAAATTTTGACATACATTTAAATGTTAATTGAAACTTGTTCTAGATACACAAATATAAAATATTTTATGTTTTTAAAGAACAAGGAATAATGTATATTCCATACCCTTGTAGCAGATTGTTTTCAGCATGCATTAATGACATTAAAAGTGCATATGACTTGCTTTAGGTTCACTAAATTATAGCAGTTGATAAATTTGCCTTTATTGTTCACACTACTTGATCTTTTGTTTTTATAAATTTTTAAGTGTGTGGTTGTAAATATTGCACAATATTTGTACATCTTAGATGATGTACAATGAATGAACGAAGAACTCCTGGAAACAGGAAATATTTCTAATCAAATCTGAAGATACTCTTTTCAGAGGGAGTCTATCAAAATTGTGAATTATTACTCTTGATCTAGGTAAAACGATCCAGAAGAGCATGGGTTGAAAATATCAAACTTAACATATTAAACATATGTTTAATTTAAGTCTTGCTTTAAAAGTTGCATTACTTGTTAACTTATATGAACTAAAGTTCCTAGAGAAATTGGTAGATTAATACTGACTTATTTCTATAGCAAGAAGTCCATTTTCTGTACCAAGAAGTTATTTTGGGAATATAAACCAAACTGTATTAAAACTCCCCTGGAAAATGGTCAATCCTCCCTGTGGTGAGAGGTCTTGCCAGAGACAAGGGTAATGTCTAATGCTAAGAAGACACTAAATTTTTTGCACCGTTTTGGTCCTAGATATCAAAAGGTGATTTGCTCTGTGCCTTCCCATTAGCCCACAGAGATTTCCCGTCTCGTGGTAAAAATTCATTCTCCCACCAGCAGCCATAACTCCAGCAGCTCTGCATGGTCCACTTGCTCAGGTCTTCCATGTTTTCCCCACTAAGCACTGAAGCTATGTCTGCATCTCTCTGCTACTAAGTCTGAAAGGATCTTACTGCTTCTAATAATGGATGGAAGCTTGGAAGGAGAGATGCATGCTCAAAGAGATAACAATTATCCTTTGTTTACTATGTGCTTTTAAGCCTTGCTATCCAGACCAAATTTAATCTTGTAGCAAAATGTTTCCATGAAAAGCATGGTGATTTTATATATTATTACTCAAGAAAATGAAATTTCCTAAGTATGTGGAAATGGCCACGTATGTCTCAAAAAATGCTGCTATGTTTCTGCGTTTTAGAAAGCAGTGGCTGGTTCAACAGTTCTTGCTATCTCTGTACCTTTCTGCCGATGGACAATGTAGATGGGCCTGTCATCTATGGAATGTTCTGTGAAAGATATTTTTTGAAAAGATAATCAATATTAATGTCTGGAAGGCTGTTAGAATAAGCCCCTGCCTGGAGAATGCAATTCAGTTTCTCAATAGAATACAAAGAGAAAGAAATGCATCCTGCAGCAATCTGTTGTGTTTTCTTTTTTTTTATAGTAGCTGTGGGAGGTCATGGGATTTAAAATATTTACACTGTCATACTTAGGAAATCCAATGATCCTAGACATACTTAGTTGCATTCAAAAGACTCAATATTTAGACATATGCTCCATAAGTAATGTTGCCATAGTGAAGAATGATTGTACAGTCACTAGTAGAAAAACTAATGCAGAAATCAATTTAGTATTGATATTGGGAAAATATAGGATGTTGATATTGAATTTAGGTTAGGATTTTGCTGTTCGTTGTTTATCCTAAAAGAAGTAACTTCTTTCTTTACAGATTTGGAAAAGGACTTATTTTTAACAAAAACTTTATTCAAGTTTTGGCAACTTTCTTTAATCAGATTTGCCATTCTTTATGTAAACTGCAACTGATATATAACCTGGATGGGTTCTTCCATGTAAGGATAATGAATGTTTAACTAGGTACTGTAACAAGATAAATGCAGTAAAAAGATAAATGATGAAGCATCTTAATGTAGCTATAAGCTTTGGTCTAATGTATCTTTGACTAAACAAGGTTATGACATAAAATTTAACACACATGTACCCCAATTCAATGAAACGGCTTTTCAGTAACATTTTAAATAATAACCACTCATGCAGGCTTTCACATTAAAGTAATTATGGAAGGGGAATGATAAGAACAGAAAGAAAGTTTACTCTTCCTCTTCATAGTGAAAGCAAATGTGTTTTTCTCCAGAATCTGCCAAGCCTGTGTTTTAATGATTTAACAGATGGAGTTGGCACATGTGAACCTGGAAGATGCATCTGTCTGATTTTTCCAGTCTGAGGATTTTTTAACTGC